TGTGTGTGTGTGTGTGTGTGTGTGTGTGTGTGTGTGTGTGTGTGTGTGTGTGTGTGTGTGTGTGTGTGTGTGTGTGTGTGTGTGTGTGTGTGTGTGTGTGTGTGTGTGTGTGTGTGTGTGTGTGTGTGTGTGTGTGTGTGTGTGTGTGTGTGTGTGTGTGTGTGTGTGTGTGTGTGTGTGTGTGTGTGTGTGTGTGTGTGTGTGTGTGTGTGTGTGTGTGTGTGTGTGTGTGTGTGTGTGTGTGTGTGTGTGTGTGTGTGTGTGTGTGTGTGTGTGTGTGTGTGTGTGTGTGTGTGTGTGTGTGTGTGTGTGTGTGTGTGTGTGTGTGTGTGTGTGTGTGTGTGTGTGTGTGTGTGTGTGTGTGTGTGTGTGTGTGTGTGTGTGTGTGTGTGTGTGTGTGTGTGTGTGTGTGTGTGTGTGTGTGTGTGTGTGTGTGTGTGTGTGTGTGTGTGTGTGTGTGTGTGTGTGTGTGTGTGTGTGTGTGTGTGTGTGTGTGTGTGTGTGTGTGTGTGTGTGTGTGTGTGTGTGTGTGTGTGTGTGTGTGTGTGTGTGTGTGTGTGTGTGTGTGTGTGTGTGTGTGTGTGTGTGTGTGTGTGTGTGTGTGTGTGTGTGTGTGTGTGTGTGTGTGTGTGTGTGTGTGTGTGTGTGTGTGTGTGTGTGTGTGTGTGTGTGTGTGTGTGTGTGTGTGTGTGTGTGTGTGTGTGTGTGTGTGTGTGTGTGTGTGTGTGTGTGTGTGTGTGTGTGTGTGTGTGTGTGTGTGTGTGTGTGTGTGTGTGTGTGTGTGTGTGTGTGTGTGTGTGTGTGTGTGTGTGTGTGTGTGTGTGTGTGTGTGTGTGTGTGTGTGTGTGTGTGTGTGTGTGTGTGTGTGTGTGTGTGTGTGTGTGTGTGTGTGTGTGTGTGTGTGTGTGTGTGTGTGTGTGTGTGTGTGTGTGTGTGTGTGTGTGTGTGTGTGTGTGTGTGTGTGTGTGTGTGTGTGTGTGTGTGTGTGTGTGTGTGTGTGTGTGTGTGTGTGTGTGTGTGTGTGTGTGTGTGTGTGTGTGTGTGTGTGTGTGTGTGTATAACGCATAACTCATGAACCGATTCACAGAAAAACACCAAATTTTAAACTTAAGCTTTGTTTCAACGTCCAATGAGCTGATTTTGGGCAGAGTCGGAACATCTGGGGGGGTACTTTATAGGGGGTCATTTTTATATTTTATGGAATATATCTGTTATTTACGTTTGGAAAAGAAAATTCTTCAAATAAAAGTTACTTCTAATATAATGATCTATAATTTTTGTTCTATGCAAAATTTTCCTAAAATGGTCCGTATTCGAGAAATTTGACAAAATGTAAAAAAAATTATTTTTTATAAAAATTGTTCAAACAAAAGTCTATAAGTCTCTATAATTTTTGTCCTATACATGATTTCTCTAAAATGGACCGTATTCTAGATATTTGAGAAAATGTGTAAATTTCGAATTTTGAAGAAAACTCAAAAACGGATAAAGAAAAAAACATTAAATTTTAAACTAAGGTTTATTTCGGCCTGACGTGAAATGATTAGATTTTGGACATAGTCGGAACATCTGGGGGGTACTTTATGGGAGGCCACTTTTATATTTTATGGAATATATCTGTTATTAATGTTTGGAGAAAAAAATTGTTCAAATAAAAGTTACTTCTAATATTATTATCTATAATTTTTGTTATATGTAAAAATTTCCTGAAATGGTCCGTATTCGAGAAATTTGACAAAATGTGCAAAATTCTGATTTTTATGAAAGTTTTTGAAATAAAAGTTGTTTGCGATATCGATCTCTATAATTTTTGTTTATACATGATTTTTATAAAATGGACCGTAATGAAAAAATTGTAGGAAATTTAAATTTTTCAGTATTTTCGTTTTCCATGAATATCTATAGAAAAATGTTTCGAGGTAGATGTATGTGGACAATGTATGTATATATTTAGTTTATCCTCTAAACATTTATAGAGATGCTGCAATAGGTTGTACAAAATAACCGGAAAAAGCCTATAATAACTAGATAGGAAAGTCATGTGTTGGACACATCAGATTTTTAACAATGTTAATTTTATACAACCAATTTATCATGAAAATCATAAAATAAGTTCCAATATTTTGAACTTACAACTAGAAAACTGGCCTGATTCTACAAAGATCTACACAGATGCTTCTAAAACTTCAGCTGGTACAGGATGTGCCTTTTTCATCCCTTCTACATCTACAGAGAACGTTTTTAAGTTACCATCAAATTTTTCAATATTTAGTGCAGAAGCAATTGCTATATATGAAGCTATAAAATACTTTAAAATATCTAATAATAATACTGCAGTTATTTTATCTGATTCCCTATCTGTATTACTTGCTATTCAAAACCCAAATCTTCCTTCCAATTCATCAAATGCTTATATTTTGCTCATTAAAAAGATACTATTCGAAATCCATAATACATCGAAAACGGTTCAATTAATATGGGTTAAAGCACATATAGGGCTCAAACATAATGAGTATGTAGATGTTTTGGCTAAAAGCGCAACTACCAATGGCTTACCGACAAGTTATCAGCTGTGTAATTTGGATGCTTTTGCAATTGAGAAACAACGTCAAATGAAAAATTGGAGAAAATCTTGGAAAGACTTTTGCAAAACCACTACAACTCAATATTCAAAAATACAACCAAAAATTCCGAATGTGCATTGGTTTAAAAACTATTCACTTCCTCGAAAGTATATAACAACTATCATTAGATTGAAATTTGGACATGCATGTTATCCAGCACATTTATTCAAAATCCATGTTATAGATTCGGAGATATGTACTATGTGTCAAGAGAAAGGCGATCTAAATCATATTTTCTTTAGTTGTGTAAACTATACCCAACAATCTCAAGATCTGATACAAGATCTAATTAAAAATAATGTATTTCCTCCATTTAACATTTGCCATCTCCTCTCACTTAATCAAACAAAAATTTACGACCTCTTGATAAAATTTGTGTATGAAAGTAAAGTATGTTTGTAATTAGTATTAGTCTTGCAACCTATGTTCTAACCCAATTGTTATATACCTACCTTTCCGTGGCCTAGTTTTGTGTGTAAAAAAAAATGTCTTGACGGGCTCCTAGACAAGAAGACATGTTTTCCTTTGTTTATTCCTTGCTTGCCTTATCTTCTGTTTTATATTTTTCTTCTTTTCTTGCTTAGGACAAAAGTGTGTATGATTGAATGTATTTAGAGTGATAATGCAATTTAAACTTATATAATATATTCCGCGACTGGCTGAATGGCAAGTGCCCAAGCCAAAAAAAAAATAGTTTTTTGCGATTATTTTTGGATGTACATTCATCATGCAAAGCGCAGTCAGTCTATTTTCATTCATTATTCGCTCTGTGCGTGACAGCAGCGCCAATTAATTTAAAAACTAACGGACGATATTTGCGTATACTGACAATACAATTTTTAATGGAATTAAAAAATATATATGTTGATTTTAATAAAAGTATATATATTTGTAAAACAAGTGAAAAAATTAATTATTATATATTTTTATTAGGTACTTCAGCTAAAATAAAAGTAGTATAATTAATAATTAAACATAGGCAGGCTACGGTGGTGTAGGTGTCTACGGCGCGGCATTAATTTGTCAGCCAATTTTCTGGTAAAACGAGACAAGGTTTCAGATCATACGGAAGACCATGTGAATTTATTTGCATGGTTCTCTATAGGATTTGATGGATGCCATATTAGCAGAAATTTAATTTCTGTTGATATGACATCCAGATTATTAAAATAAAATCACCATGCATTACCGTTTTCGATGGAAGGTGGTGTTTTCCGGGTTTTCCTCACCTGTAAGTCAAATGTCACCATTATTCATCTTTAAGTCGTCCCGGAGCGCCACGGCAAATAATAATAATAGCCGTCCCTTTCCCCGCACAAGCTCAGCTTTTGGAGTTAAAATTCGCTCATAAGGGGGTGAATTAGGGAGAGAATTATTATTATAAGATTATATATTTACGAGAAAATGTATATGTTGCCTAAGCCTAATAAGTTAACATTGAAGAAAAGGTTTAATAATGTGAAAACAAAAACATTACCATTATATAATAACGTAGTTTTAAAACGTATTAACAAAAATAATTGGTAAATTTGCGATTGTAATTCATATTTTCTTTATTTTTAGTTCGAAAGAACCCATAGAAATTAATGATTAAAATTGGTTTCCTATCAATAAGTCACAAGATTGCATTTCAGTCACATACAATAATCAAAGGCAGAAATCTAATCTTGCTCAACATTTAAGAGTTAAGGGATATTGAACAACATTGTACAATAATAATTTATTGGTTATTTAAAACCTTTCAATTTTCTGATGTCTACTATTTCCAGTATTACTGTTATTATTACAAAAATAAAGGTTTTTTCTTCTTACTGTACAGCTATCCATTTATTTCATTGATTCAATTTCCATTTTGCTACTAAAAATTTATATAATTTACACTGTTTTTTTCTGCTAGTATTTTTACAATTTACAACACAGCAACTGTTATTGCTTTATCGCCTTGGACAAATTTCGCTTGTGTTTGATTTTGTAGGTTTTATTGTGTTTTTTCGTGATTTTTAGTAGCATTGCTGCATTTAGTTATTGTCAAGTCAATTAGTGTCAAAGTCATAATAAATACATCTTTTAATTTTCTTCCCTCATTTACAAAAACTATTTTATTTTTGTGCTAATTTCACGTAATAATACGTCAATGCGCGTGCGCCCATACCTAATTTAGTACTAAAAATTGGTATCGTTGCAAAAGGAAAAAAATATTTTTAGTTCTAAATTTAGTACTAAATTAATAACTTGATTTAGGGCTAAATTTTAGTACTTAATTTAGTATTGTGACATATATCCATTACGCGCTGTATAGTAGTAAAAGCCAGGGGGGGGGGGGCAATTGCCCCCCCTTGCCCCCCTCAAACGACGCCCATGGTAGATATTAAAACATTAACCAATGAAATATATCTTTATTTAAAAAAATCATACAATTTAACTATTTTCGGTAATGGTTTGGTGTATCCAGTCGGCGAAGTTAGAAAGCTTGGTGAATACATTTGGAGCTCCCTTAGTATTGCATGGCTTGTCAAAGTACCATGTGATAAGACCAATAACGGTTCCGTCTTGAGAAAGAGGACCACCGATATCACCAGCGCAGTTGTTTGATACTTCGTTTAAGGTACAAAGGTTACTGTCCTTATCTAAGGGATTATCTTCGTATGGGATGAGTTTTTCGATGACTCTGTTACAATCTAAAAAATAACGTATAGATTGAATAAAGAAAATGTCCTATTGATTTTGAGAGTAATAAATGACCTATTCTTTACACGTTCGTACTCAATCTCAACTATTCACATATGGCTATCCTCATCCTTACAGATAACGAGTTTACAATTCGATTTTAAACAGCTTCAAAATTTATAAAATGAATAATGTTACATAACGAATACCTCAGTAGAATGGGGAAAGCTTGTCAGTAAGATTCAAAGTGCTGATAAGACATGGTACGAATTAAGTGAGAGTACCCAGATAACAATTATACATTCTTAGCATATTCTTAGTATATACTTTTTAAGAATACGCATATGCTGAGAATATACTGTATTCGCATTTGGTACATTCTCAGAATATGCTAAGCATATGCTACGTAACGTTGTTTATACGTGCTATGCAGATACTGAGAATGTACTTCAAGTATGTGTACAGTATGCAACAGGTATCTACTTTAATTTAATAGTACATTCTAAGTATATGCTAAGTATTTAAATATAACATATGCTAGGCATCTACTAGACACCTTAATACAGGATGTTTAATTAATATTGAACATTAAAGAATAAGTGTATATAATGAGTCTTTATTTCAAAGAATTCATACTTATTTTTATTACAAATACTATCTTTGGCCTTAACTAGTCAATATTTTATATTGTATCAATGGCTTGAGTTTCATTTGCTTGATTTCATTGGATCTTCATTGAACCTAAAACATTAAAAAAATTAACAAACTTGGTACATATACAAATTAAGTGTACATAGCTAATGGAATATTTTAAATATTTTTGTCGAACATAAAACATTAAAAATTGTACATGGCATTACACTAACAAAAACAAGAGTTACATAAATGATTATGATGTTTACTGAAAGTTTAAATATATTTTTGTTAATTACTTACCACAATTTTGTAGTTTTCGTCCTCTTTTAGCTAACTTTTCTAGTTCTTCCAGGTCAATATCTGGCCTTATAGGATTTTTTTCATAGAAAGTGTGTATGTAATTCTGGTAACACTGTATTTTAGTTTCAATCCACCATCAGTATTAACTATATTAATAAATTCACATTGGCAATTAATATTTGGGATATCCTGTATTCTAACGTCACTTATAGGTCCTAAAAACTATAAATATAGTAAAATTTGTTTATTTTCATATAGAACATACGATGCAATTAATTTTTATTAATTTACTGACCTCTTACAAACAAACGAAATCAAAAAAATTTGTAGGAATTAGGCATTCCAAACAAATGAATTACCAGTGGGCAGGTTTGGTATATCTAAGGGTGGCGACATACGGTGTATTCTATCTACTTTACGTAAAATCATGAATAATGGATTACATTTAAATATTTTATGTCAAACACAATAAAAATAATATTTAAAAAACCCACCTATACATTTCTTCATAAATTGGCAGGCTTGGCGAGTACTACTTCGAATAAAAATAGCGTCCAAGTTGCAAGACTATGTCGCTACCCCTTTAAATATACAAGAATTTCCCACTGGCACCTATTGTTTGACAGGTCGTTGGAATGCCTAATTGTAGGATATGTTATTCTTCATCTTTTCTTCTATTTTAGTTTGAAAATGTTTTTTGGCCTAAACATTCAACATTAGTGCGTTTGGTGGCGAATTATTAGATCGGCATCTGGGAAAAATTCATATAGATATGTATATAAACTTGTTTTTACATGTATTTGGTGTTAATTTTTACCTGCAAACATTTAAAACATTCTCAGAATATAAGGTACATGCTGGGTATATGACTGTTAGTATCTTCTAAGAATGCCCTGTTATAATACGTGTTCAGTATATACTTTTTGGAATATACTTTTAAGGCACGTACTCAGAATATACTTTCTAGAATATACTTTCTAGAATATACTTTCTAGAATATACTTTCTAGAATATACTTTCTAGAATATACTTTCTAGAATATACTTTCTAGAATATACTTTCTAGAATATACTTTCTAGAATATACTTTCAAAGTATATTCTAGGTATGTTCTAAGAATATTCTAAAAGGATATACTAAAAAGAACTTAAACATAACGTTCTTGGTATATTCATAGAACATTGATGTTATGTGTGTATTTTAAAAATTATTTTTTAAAAAACGAAAAAATTTTATAAGAAACCTTTATCGAGCGAAAGCTAACAATGATCTATTTTCTAGTTCTGACTTATATTTATAATTTTAGTACAGAGTGCAACGTTAACATAAATCTTGTATTAGTCGGCGAGATTGTTTCTATAACTTACGACTCTAATGATATTCCAAATTATGTTATTTATGAGATGGCTATATTATTTGATCATAACGTAATATCTTTATTAACATATTATTTTATGTTTAATAATAGGATACAAACAATTCTAAATATTAAGACAAAAAGTTACGCTGGAACGAAATTTTAGGGGTTGCGTTTTACACCCCTTACAACCATGGGGTAAACCAAATAAATTACTGGCTAAGTGTCTTTTTGGTAGTAGAAAATGTCAGGTAAAATGTCAGGTTAATTTCAATATTGTAACTTGTTTAGTGCTTGTGAAAAAAATTGTTAAAACAAATTTTATGTACCCCCTTTAAGGGTTGTATCTTAACAAGGGATGCTCCAATGAAGTTTCTTTATATGAAAGATCCTATCTTTTTTTCGATGAGGAATCACCCCCTTAAATGTTTTACACTTATTTAGTTACACCCTGTATACATCTGGAAGTTCTAATTTATTATCTTGACTAACATCAACAAGTAGGTAATAATCTTCCATTTCACATTTGGGTTACTGTGCCAAGATTCGTTTGCACACTTTAAGAATGCTAGACTTAAATACCATTTACTTCTTGTATTTAAGTCTAAATCTTTGACTTCTTTGGTAGCTAGGTCAGCCACCGACCAATCTGAAGTTACCAAGTGCCACTGTTTAACATTAGTGTTTTTTAAGATCTCTCCTACTCTACAGGCTAAAAATATAGCGAATCGTCTACGCTCAGATCCAATCTGTTGTACCACTCTCAGAGTAAGTAAGTAGTAAAGAGAGGACAGTAAACAATGTTTGTGTCGCCATGATAATATGGTCGAGAATTCTAATTAGAGAGAAATAGATTATCTCTATCTCTTTGTTTGTATTTGTCAGTTTTACAAAGCTTTTCTCAGACAATTATTCCAGTGTTTAATTTAAATTTGTTCGTGTTGTGGTGTTAAAAGTAATTGTTATTAATATTATATTCATAACAAAAAAGTCATATTTTGTTTTCACTTCATTAAAAATGCACCTACCTACCTTTTCAAACATTTTATTTTATATTCTATTTGGTCAACATTTTCGCATTTAAAATGACCCAGCAAAATTGTTTTACGGTACGCTACTGCTGAGAATTCTAAAACGAGTGAGAAAGCCTTCATTAGAAAGAGAGATACTGATTATATGATAGCGAGATTAATATTGTATAACTTTATGCAGTGGTGGCCTATCTGCTATTATATTATCTAAGGTACCACTAAGTAATTTGTCCAAAAGTGAGCTAACTGGACTTCGTATTGTAGCTCATTACAACCTGTTTTGGGTAATCTGCATGCTAGAACTGCCCCTTGAAGTTCTAGTTTTGGTATGGTCTGCTGATCGATTGGAGTTACTTTGAATTTGGAAGTGACGAAACTAGTAAATATCTCTGAAGAATGTACATATCTTATGTATGCAGAGTAAGCTTTGTTACTTTCATCCGAAAAGATATGTATATCTACTCTATTTTTAGGTGGCAGTCTAGGAAAATAACATCTATTTATTTTAATTGGTGATACGGAACATAGATCATTTAGCCACTGCTTCCAAGATGGAAATATGCTGTCTGCAATTTATGCATCCCATTCCACATTATATCCCCATATATTCTGCATTAATATCGTTGCTTTTACCATCAGCGGTGCTAGAAATTTTAGGGGATCAAAGACGGACATGACAATTCTCAGAACTTTACGTTTACTTGAAATTTTGGAGCAATCAATCAGATCGATGGAGAATATCTTGAAATTTAAGGTGTCAATAAGTCATCTGTATTGTGGGACCAGAATAAGCCAAGAACTCGTTTAATTTTATCTGTGTCTATATTCATATTACAACGAAGATCTTTTGGAATTGATAAGATTACTGCAGATAAATTACTTATCTATTTTTTCATTTCAAATCCACCTGTTCTATGGACATGAATGACTTGCTGGACCGGTTTGATGGCTTCTGCTTCGGAATTGCATGTCCAAATAGTTATCGACATAATGCTGCTTGGTAATAGCTTTTATAATATTAGGAAAATCGGTTTGAAGTCTCTCAGCATTTTTGTTTTTTTATTGTACTTTGGAAGGAGAGGATATAGCCCCAAAAATCCTGATATTCATGTGGTAAACATCGGGTTATTGATTTTTATTTCCTCCACGCCAAAAGAAACGATGACTGCACCTGCCTCCTTTTCTGCAGACCACTTGGTGAAACATTTCTTTTATATCTCCACTAATCGCAATTTAACCCTGCTGAAAACGCCATAATACCGCAATTAATGGAGGGCACATAATTTGGGCCTTGAAACAGAAAGTCGTTTATGAGTACCCGTGCGATTTTGCCGCAACGTCAAATACTAGCCTAATTTGGCCTGGTTTGTTTTCATTCCATGCGGCAAAGTGAATAAATACCAATCTCTAAGATTTTCTGTGACTTGCCACTTTTTTAGTTTGGTAACATAACCTTTATGTAGATAATCTTCAAACTTTTGGCAGTACTGCTTTGCAAATTCTTTATCTGTACATTTTTCTTTCCATGCATGAAAGACGTTTTAAGGCATTACTTTTACTATCTTTAAAAGTAACGTCTTCATACTTGCAAGGATGATCGATTTCAAAACAATTACCAATGTAATGAAGAGTTTTTTTCCATAATTTTAACTGCCTTTTTGACTTCTGCAGATTTCTTACCACCCTTGAATTTTTCACCAATAAGTGAAGTTGTTCATCAGCAGAATGCCTACAGTAAAGGTTCGGTATAGGAAGAACTTTTATTCACAACCCCATAAACAGTCCATCCTAACTTGTCGTACGATAGAATAGGTTGGTTTAACCGAAGCTGAATAACTTGCCGTTGAACAATTCAACCGCAATTGTCTTGTCCAATCAAAAGTTTAAACGTCTTAAAGTAGACAGGTAAAGGTGGTTAAATTGTTGAGAGAGTAAAACAGCATCAAGGTTCTGATAAGGTGAGTTCAAATTTTTGACCACTTTGACATTATTAAGTTTATAGAATTTGACAAGTTCTACGCGACGTATGAGTATTTAGCACATACTTTGATTTTCTTTTACTATACGGAGAATGGTCGCACTGCGCAGCTTTCTGAGTGCCTTTTAAAAGGAGATAGAAAACTCCACCATTTTGATCCCTTATTACGTGTTGCCTACATCTTGGCGCAATATTTTTAATAGGTGCGTTTTAATCATCCGCTTCTGCTTCGGAATTGTCGGTTTTCTTGTTTTAATCTGACAAGTTAAAACGACTAAACCGACAATTCCGGAAGCAGAAGCGGATGATTAAAACGCACCTGATATTTTGCTTGCTGCTGTCAGTGTCAGTGAATATTATTTTTGAAGTCACAGTTTATTGCTAAAGAATCAGTTAGCTCACTCGGACCAGTTGAAAGTTCCAAAATAACATCCACTCCAGGGATACAAATTCAGGATACGCAGAAGACTGCTGTTTTATTATAGGCGGTTGTCATATATTGTATTATCCGAGTTGCGCAGTGTATACACTGGAACACTGAGATCAAAAGTGCCGTCGCAGAGTGCGCGATCTGATTCTTTAGCTGTAAACTCTCTCTTGCCCCGTATAGTAATCAAAGTATGTGATTTAGTTTGAATTTGCTTGAATAAAGAGAAGCGGCGTTTACTAAGTTGAACTGGTGTTTTTTTATGCTCGCTTTCGCTTACGTTCAGAATCTTCAACTTGTATCATTCCAATCTTGTTATAGAATATACTATTATTATTTCTATTTTTCCCCTAAATGTAAATAGTGTTATTAATTTAGAACAGTGGTCGCCAACCTGTCGATCGCGAGCTACCGGTAACTCGCGGAGGCAATTCTGGTAGCTCTCACAACGATTTTAATTTTAAAAATACAAACAGAGAAGCTTCCGAAATTTCCACAAAAAATCTAATTGTCATAATATTAAACATAAACAGCGGCAACGTTGCGGTGAGCGATCTGCCGCTGACGGCGTCAAGCTAGAATCGGCTAGAACCGACCAGCCGGACCAGCGCGTTAGTGTTCGAGAACGATCAGGATTGCTTTGAACGGGATAAATACGTACGGCGCGGCGTTATTGCGCTTAGTTTAAAACTGAACGCGTAACCAACGTCCAGCGGTTGGGTTAGTAGAGAACAACAAAAAATAATATTATGGCAAGCAGTTGTAAGAAGGTAAAGACATACCACTTTCATTCGGAATGGGAAGAACAATACTTTTTTACAGAAGTTAAAGATAAAAATGTGTGTTTGTTATGTAATACTTCGGTCTCCGTTGCTAAAAAAGGAAATATTGAGAGACATCATAAAACTGTACATTCTAATTTTGAAAAATCATTCCCACTACATTCTGCCGCCAGAAAAGAGAAACTGAAACAGTTAAAAAAGCAGTTAATTGGACAACAATCAATATTTTTAAGAACAGTCGACAAAAATAAGGCTGCAACTGAAGCATCGTACCGTGTGTCCCAGATAATTGAACAAAAAAAGAAACCTTATGAAGACGGGGAAATGATAAAACAGGCGTTTTTAGAAGCTGCTGATTCGTTATTTGCCAACTTTAGAAATGAAGACGAGATAGTTTCAGCTATAAAATCTATGCAACTTTCTGCTAATACAGTGATGAGACGTGTAGAAGTAATGGGCAATAATATTTTTTTTACAGTTAAGAACTGACTTAGATAACTGTGTTTATTTTTCACTTCAACTGGAAGAATCAACAGATGTCGTTGACACTGCCCAGATGGTCGTGTTCGTCAGGATGGTTTTTAGTGATTTTACGATTAAAGAAGATCTTTTGAAGTTTATTCCACTGAAAGGACACACTACTGGACAGGAGTTGTTTTCTCATTTAAAAAATATTATTTCTTCCGAGAAAATTCCAATATATAAAATGGTAGGCTTGACAACCGATGGCGCTCCAGCTATGGTGGGTTGTGATAAGGGTCTGGTGGCGTTATGTCGTAAAGATGAAACTTTTCCGTTACCACTGCATTATCCATCAGCAAGCATTATGTGGAAATTTCCTGAAACTAAACAACGTTATGAAACTGGTGGTAAAAATTGTGAACAAGATTAGAGCTCAAGCGTTACAAAGAAGATTATTCAAAACTTTGGCCGATGAAGTTGACTGTCAATACGGGGACCTACTCCTTCACTCTGAAGTCCGATGGTTAAGTAGAGGACGGGTGCTGAAACGTTTTAATGATGTCCTATCTGGCATAGTTCAATTTTTCAAACAACGTGATGAACCGACTCCGGAACTAGGAAATTCAATCTGGCTTAGAGATTTTGGTTTTTTCGTGGACATTACAGAGAAATTAAACGAACTTAATTTGCAGCTTCAGGGGAGAGACAAAGAACTAGCGGAAATTATTTCTGATATAAAAGCATTTATCAAAAATCTGGAGTTTTGGGAACAAAACCTAATTAACAGCGATGCCAAGCATTTTCCTATTCTTTCAGAAAAAATATTTCAAAATCCATTAGAACCCTATGACAGCAAATATCTTATAGAAATAGTTTCTACCCTGAAGAATAACTTTAAAAATCGTTTTAAGGATTTCAACGAAATGGCTTTAGTAGCGCAGTTTGTTGTTTCACCCTTTATGGAAATTGATATCCAACAGTTTGCAACTTGTGTTATGCAGAACATTGGCGAAGACATCGCTGCAACAGAAATGGAAGTAATTGAGTTTCAAAACGATTTAGCCTTAAAATCGTTAGTCTCAAGTACCAAATGTATCTGGCCTATTGTAGGTAAAGACAAATATTCAGTTCTATGCCGTGTTGCCTTGAAAGTGAAAGCATTATTCAGTTCAACCTATTTGTGTGAATCTTCTTTTTCCAATATGAAGTTTATTAAGAACAAATATCGCAATCGACTTACAGATGAACATTTGGATAATTGTATTCGAATGGCTGTATCAAATTATACTGCAAACATTAAAAAAATTATCGATGAGTCTGAGTGTCAGCCTTCTCATTGAATGTGCTTTTTTATTTTTCGATGTTTATGTTCATGATAGTGCGTTACTTTTTTGTTGTTATTATTAACTATTTTTAAATCTTACGTAACATGCCGTTGTGGCTGGATAAAAGTTTGTGTTTATTTTTCAAACACCTTCGTTTGGTAGGTAGGAATAATAATAATAATAATAATAATAATAATAATAATAATAATAATGTAGCTAATGTAGCTATGAACAAGTACGTACAGTAATATTAGTTATTTTGTTATTAGTTTATTATTAGTACCTATGTATTATGTATTACCAGTTAAATAGTAAAATAAATACATATAATGATAAATTAACTGTGGATTATTTCATTTACGTTGCATTACGTGGCTTCCGTGTGGGTAGCTCGCTGTTTATTCTAAAATTAACAAAGTAGCTCAACACATTGAGAGGTTGGCGACCACTGATTTAGAGGATATAAGACTGATACGCAAATTATAAAACAATAAAAAAGTAATTGAACAAATTTCAATTTGATTAATAATTATTTAATCACTGTATTTCTGATATCAAAATTACGTAAATATAACTATTTAACAACAATTACCCTTGCAATTAGGACAATAGTTAGGATAATTAAATAATTAACTAAAATTTTCTAAAGCATTCTAAAAATTTACTAAAATTTATTGAATTTTTATTAAAATTTAGTAAAAATTATTAAAATTTATTAAAAGTTAAAAAAATTTATTTAAATTTACTAAAATTTACTAAAATTTACTAAAATTTACTAAAATTTACTAAAATTTACTAAAATTTACTAAAATTTACTAAAATTTACTAAAATTTACTAAAATTTACTAAAATTTACTAAAATTTACTAAAATTTTACTAAAATTTACTAAAATTTACTAAAATTTACTAAAATTTACTAAAATTTACTAAAATTTACTAAAATTTATTAAAATTTACTAAAATTTACTAAAAAATACACTTTTAGTAATTCTATTTTGATGCTTGTATTGGTAAAAGATACTTACCATCAAAAGATACGAGCGTTAAATCAAGGGCGGCATTAAGCTCGAATCCGAGACCGTAACCAGTGGCAACAGCTGTACCGTTGAATTCTTGGCCTTGCGTTGGCAATTTTGCAGGCTGAACTTTGTTATTGAAGGTCAGTGGTTGAGCTAACTTAAGTAGAGCAATATCATTACGACCGATTCTGGAAGTAAAATAGGCATTTATTACACACGGCACAATTTCTTGTTCAAAAACGTAGTTCCTTGGCCAAATACTGAATTATTACTTGTTCAAACACGGAATTTCGTTTTTAAAGGTTATCTTGAAATTCTTTGTCGAACAAGGTATTCTATTTTCGAGTTATAAATGATAATGTTATATTTTCAAATTACTATTAGGTAACTTGGGGGGAGGTTAAAAATGGATACTAAAAAAGTAAGTCAATTATTTAATATTAAGTAAGTTGAGTCAAGTTATGTGTTCTAGTGGACCAAACCGAAGTATAATATAAAAAAACTCATGTTTGCTATAATCTTTCATTCTTAAATATTTTTTTGACTAACTTTAAATGAACGTTCCAGTACAAGGATTTAAAATATTTATGAAAGGAAGAAGACTTACCCTCTAACGGGATAGTTAGGATGGCGATATGCAGCTTCAACGTCAACAATATCTAGGTCGGCTATGTCTAATACGTCTACATTAGAAGTTCCAATAGCAATTATTTTTTTGGGGTCACTTACACAATTAGAACTTGTCAATACCCACTTTTCATTGACAATTACACCACCGCAAATGTGATCGCAAAAATCCAAATAACAAAACTGGACGGAAACTAAGAATGGATAATCTTCGATTTTTGCGAAAGTGCCACCGTCAATCTGTAGACGTTTGTGGGAAGGTTTAGCGTTCAGAACACCTAAAAAAATATATATAGAAACAACACTTTATATTGTAATTTTTTGTGATTTGGTTAATTTTAATGATTCTTAACCTTAATATTTTATTTTGATAGACACATCTGACTAGGATTTGTAATATTATTCGTCTTCTCTTATTTTATATTTTTTACTTTTTTTAATGCTATGAAATAAGGATTTTAGAAAGGGTTAAAATTTCAATAGTTTTGTAGCTAGAACAAAATTTGTTTTTTTTTTGTTCAAAATATTATCACTTCACTCGATAGAATACAATGTTTTACTAACAAGGAAAAAAATTACTTAATAAAAGCTACTGAAGAAGGCACTAATCAGTGCCGAAGGTTATAACCAAAGACATACAAGTTTCATTTTATCTACAAGCACCTAAAAACTCAAGAACTTCAATAAAAACCTGTAATAACAATGTACTTACCATAGCATACTGCTACAGCAGCGAGGAAAATAACAACTTTAGCACTGAACATTTTGTAGCACCTGACTATAAGTTTTTCTCGTTATATTATTTATAGAATTTGTTTCAAGTATAATCCTTAAAATATTGATTGATAGTTTTATCAATACAATGACTTAGGACTTTCATATATCGATAGAAATCTACGTTTAATTCTCATAGATAGTAGATAATGTTGTGCAATATTAAAGTACCTTTTTTTAAAAAACTAATTTCTAATATGTGTTTACACCAAATCTATATCTCAAAAAAGATAGGTACATAAGTACATGTACTTGTATTTGTAAATTAGAACGCAGCTCTTTATTTTTCTGAAATGTGCTGGAAATTTTTCGTGAAATACTTCACATACTTGGAGAGTAGAATCCATTAACATGGTAAGGTCAGTTGTTCAACAATGAACCACCTAAAATTTTAATGGCTGTAAATCGATCCAATTGTAACATGAGGTCATGAAACTTTGGCACGTATTAGTCTATCTATTTGCAGTTCTTTTTATATTATCAAAACATTAATCAACATTTTTGGTTCAGAATGGCATACATTTTTTAAAAAGTAGCATGTGGTTCATTATGTCCACCGGGTGGTACACAATGAATCAGTCGAGCGGACACAATGAACCACGCAAAAGAAACTTAAAATACAGTGGAAACAATTTTTAAGGAATAATAAAAAATACAAGTTTTTTGCTAATTTTTATTTATAAAAATAAAAAAAAATGAAATATTTACGTCTCTTTAAAATAAAAAAATTAATCCCAAACAAAAAAAAAAACAAAAAATTATAATTATTTAAAACAAATGAACTTAAAAATAAGACCGAATGTTTAAATTAGAGAATGATACTTTAAACATAAAGTATCCTCGCTGCCGTTTGGTACTTCCGCATTGTAATGGGTTAGGTAAAATATATTTAATAGATTCTTTTCTTACGGAAGCTCTATCAATGATATCAGGAAATACAAAATGTTCATGTTCCTTAGATTTTAACCTAAGAAATGTTATAAGGTAATCCTCGGACCGACTTATTTCTAATATTTTTCCTATATAATACACAGTTAATTTTGAAGTAGGAAACTCTACCACAACAAAGTCATCTATGTTTGGGTTGTCACAAAGGGTATCAAATAAATCTGAATGCAAACTTGTATACGGAGATTCAATCTCTTCGCAATCACTCTCGCTTTCAAGGACTATGTCGATATCTTCCGAATTGTCAGTATCATCGTCAGATAAATGTACTTTCCTTTTTATGGCTTTGTTTTCTTTCAGTTCCTTGCTTCTTCTAGCTGCTAATCTCCCTTCTTTAATTAATATATTTTCTGGGGTATCCGTAGGTATAATACTTTTTTTAGCTTTTCGGGTTTTTCTAATAGTTTTCCTTGGCTTGGCCTTCAGGGGAGGCATACATTTTTGTGGTGGAATAAATGGTATAAATGACGGCCCTGCTGTAATATCGATAGAGTTGGTAGATGATAGCGGTTGCGGTTGACTGAGATTGGTGTAACAGTTTCCATTTCTTACAACTGATGGTCCTGCAGTGCTTTCCCCAGTATTGACAGATTGTATTTGGCCAATATTTGCTTGATTTTGATCATTTTAATTTTGAAATGCAGTTTCTTAACTTTTTTGTGAATCATCGGAACCGTTGTTATTTGGATTGGGTCGATTGGTTGACTTGGTAAAAAGTCTTCGTCTGAAAATATGTTCTGGTCAAATGGGTATATTCCGCATTTTTTGAAAGCGTTTGAGATGTTTGTTGGAGTCATAGCACGATTGTGAGCTATGTCAATAGATTCAGCCACATCGTAGATAGTTATAGGTTTACCTGGATTTTTCAATAACCAAGAGTCTACAGCACCATTGTAGAAACATTTAAATGGTGCGTATACGTGCATATACGTATACGTATGAGGATGAAGAGTAATATAGTCACCTCAGCGGCTTTAGCCAAATCTAATGCTTCTATAGAGGTTTTATTATTAACCTAAAACTTCCTGTATCAATTAATAGTTTTAGCTAGGGTTCGCGTATTAAGATATGAGGTAGTGAATTGTTTGAAATATTTTGCAATTTTATTATCTTTTTGTTTTCAATCGGAATCTGAAAATTTTGTTCAAAATGATCATTTTTAATTGATTCATTTTCAAATTTTATTTGATTAGGATTTTCAAAATTAAAGTGACGATAATTCTCATTGTTGTTATGTAAATTGATATCATTGCAAAAATTAGAATTTAATTTTTCAAAAGTAAAATTTGGTCTTGAAATATAATTTTGGAAATTTCTGTTATCATAAAATTGTCTTTTTGATTGGAAAGAAGGGTTTCTTGATGTCGTTGACATTGGTTCTGGTTTATACAATTGGATTTCTGGAATTTGATTTGGTTTAAAACATTTTTGGTCTTAATGGTCCAAAAACTTGTTAAAAAATAATTTTATACACCAATGTATCGCGTCGACTTCGGTTAGCTCCGCCCAAAACTGTAAATTTCTGTGTATGAAGTGAAAAACCTGCGAAGAGCCTTTCCAGCTTATGTCCCTGCTATACTTCCTTCTACACTAATTTATTCAGGGTTAGTACTAGAATGTCATGAAGCTTTGGCCGAAGTATCCATCAACAATGTGGTCACCTTAAGATGGATTAAAGGTCACGCCACATCGAAAGGTAACTGTCTTGTCGATTCACTAGCCAAGAAAGCAGCCAACCAAATACTTTTTGGACCTGGCCCTTCTATTGGCCTGACAAAATCGGTAGTGACAGACCAAATTAAAGAACATTCCCTTGTGAAATTCAAGGAAAGATGGGATGAAACACGAAACTGCAGAGTTGCCAGGGAGCTCTTAAGTTATCCTGACAACACTGCAGCAAACAAATACTCGACAATGACTAGACAGAATCTGCGTCTGGTCACAGGCATTCAGAATCCGCACTCTGCAGAGGGTGCGAACAAGAAGATGAGGCCATCGAGCATATCCTTTACGATTGCCCGACGCTCTTATTTATTAGAAGATTTGTGTTCGGCGAGTATCGGCTAACACAGGCCGATATAAGAGAAGCACCTCTTGGCGACGTTGTCAACTACATTAAATCTGTAGGCTGGCTGACGAGCTAGGAGGTGCCTATCATCTTAGGAGGATGCACAATGGGCCTAATGAGGCCTAAGTGCCGTGGGGGTAACTCACCCTCCATACGTTACAGATACAGATACTTCCTTCTATCTTTTACAGTTCAGTAGTGCCATCTTTATATTCAGTTATGATGGCGCCCACACTGATAAAAATATATTAACCATTAGTAAAAATTGAATAACAATTATTAGAAACTTGCATGAAATAGGCGCCAAGTAAGCTCTATTCTCACAGTTATTAAAGTCACTTTCCTGATCTGCACTGAATAACCATTATTATATAAATTTTGTTTAAAATGTAGTATAACAGTTATTCAGTGCACTTAATTACGATTATATATTTTCCTAATAGCATTTATACCGTTATAGGGCTAAGGTTATTAGATTATCTAATAATGGTAATAATATCAGCTGGATGCAATATAACAGTTATTCAGTGCACTTAATTACTATTATATATTTTTCAAATAGCATTTATACTGTTATGAGGCTAAGGCTATTATATCATCTAATAATGGTAATAATACCAACTGGATGGAGTGGAACAGTTATTCAGTGCACTTAATTACTATTACATAGTTCCCTAGTAGCAGTTATACTGTTATGAAGCTAAGGCTATTTGATTATCTAATAATAGTAATAATGTACTTAATTACGATGATCGGGTAGCCTACTAACCCTTATTGCCCGTTCCAATAGCAGGTATAAGGTTCTATATCTTCAGCTATTTAACTTTCTAATAATTATTATTACATCCAATAAATTTTAGATTTCATTCAAATAATTATAATTCGACGTTTTTATTATTGGTAATAAAATTTTATTATGTTGGCTACAGGCTGCAGAGTGTCCCACGAGGTTTTGCCCTTGAATATCTTGAAAACTATTCAAATGACAAATATGGAAGTTGACAGTCACGAGTAATCAATACTGACGTTTGTACCTACCATATAATGACTTCTGGTGTTTCTCGCATTTCCGGTCACGTGATTCCAACTTCAACTTTTTTAAATATGACATCCGGTATATTATTATATTTCTAGATTCCCCTTGATAAGCTAAATTTAACAAACTATAATACTTTTGGTTTAAAGTGTCACGTCTAGGAGCTATAGACAGTTAAAGATAGATCAAAACGACTTGCATGTCCTTATCTTCATTTTTTGATAACTATCTAGTGACAAGAGAAAAATATAATACAGTGTAGTCAACAGTCCAGATTGTTTTTACCACTCTATTATATTTTTTTCGTCTCATTAAATAGTGCTTTCAAAATTAAGAGAGGGACATGTAAGCTGTTTTTATCTATCTTTAACAGCTCAAAAACACTATTTTAAACTGTCTACAGTTCCTAGATGTGACACCTTAGACCACAAGTTTTATAGTTGGTTGAATTCGCCTCATGAAGGAAATCTAGAAATATAATAATATACCAAGTGTCCTATTTAAAAAATTAAAGTTGGGATCACGTGACCGGAAATGCGAGGAAAACCAGAAGTCATTTTGTAGTAGATACAACCGTCAGTATATGACTGCTCGTGACTGACAACTTTCATATTTGTCATGTGAATAGTTTTCGAGATTTTAAACGGCCAAAACCTCGTACAATAATAAAAAAATGTTACAACAATAAAATCCAATATTTTAACTTTGTTCGTAAAGAATATAAAGTTACATATCACAATTTTCTGGGACACTTGTATGTAACTAATGGACAATACGGTAACTGTAGGGAGAGGTGATAAAAATAGGTCGATTAACATGAACATAACAAGCATTAGTAAACTGTAAATAGTAAACAATATACAGGGTGTTAAAGGTGACATTTTATTTTTGAAAATTCGTAGTAGTTGGAAGACAGCTGCATGTATTGAACTCAAAATTGGTACACCATAGGTTTTAATTGTGTTAAACAAGAATTTGTTATTACTTTTTATGTCCCTCCTAGAGGGCGATAGTCACACGGTTCGAATTGGGCCAACTCACATTTATTTTTTTACCCCCTGTATTAT